AGGACATCAGGCTGGGGGCAGATGACCCAGGAACTCCTGGCTCTGCCAGGGACTGTCTCCTGTGACTTTGAGCCAGCTGCTCTCCCCTTTCTGTGCCTTAGCTTCCTCTCATGTCTGTAGAATAAAGAAGATGGAGCCGACGAGCTCTGAGATCCCTTCTAGCTCTGATGTAAAGTCTTAGATTAGGAAGTGTGGAGAAGAAGGAAGGCTGGGATTGGAGAAGGGAAAAGGGTGGTAGACAGATGCCACTTAGAGCTCAGATGAATATGTGGTCAGAGAATGGACACAAGGGTATGGGGAATGATGAGGGAGAGAAAGATGATGTCTTTCTTGGCACATGCCAAGTAACTCATTTCTTTCCTCTAGGAAAGAAAAAGAAGAAAACCCGAGGTGATCATTTTAAACTCCGCTTCCGAAAAAACTTCCAGGCCTTGCTGGAGGAACAGGTGAGAGAGGAGCTGGTGCGAGAAAACCGCACAGGGATGGGATAAGCCGGCAGAGATGCTTGTCCCCAGAGGGTGTCTGCCACATGGGCGGAGGAGTCCTGGAGCCTGCCCCCTTGCCTTTGCAGAACCTGAGTGTGGCTGAGGGCCCCAACTACCTGACAGCATGTGCGGGACCCCCATCTCGACCCCAGCGCCCCTTCTGTGCTGTCTGCGGCTTCCCCTCCCCATACACCTGTGTCAGCTGTGGTGCCCGGTACTGCACTGTGCGCTGTCTCGGCACCCATCAGGAGACCAGGTTAGCTTGGAACGTCCCCCGGGTCCACACTCTCTTCCTCCCTCACCCCATAACTTCCCAGGCTCTCTCCTCATCCTGGGCTTCCTATGTCCTCAGGTGCCTAAAGTGGACTGTGTGAGCCTGGGTTTCCTTGGAGAGGAAGGCCCTCTGTGCATCGCCCTGGCCTTGTAGAAGACATCACCAAAAAGAAAAGTGCTCCTCTGGACCAAGAGAGGAGCTGTTCACTGGCCCAGTAGAGCTCAGTGTTACCCCCAGGGATGTAGGCCAGCCCTCAGGGTGCTGTCGTGAGGAGGCAACTGCCTGTTTGGTCACATGGTGTTTTGGGGTGAGGGTGATGGGTCACTTGTTTCTCCTGCTCACTGCTCTGTGTCTTCTTAATTGTCATTCACCCTTCCCACTCTCTTCCTTTCTGGGTCCTTGACCACAAAAGATTTTGTCCCATTCTCCTGCCACCCCCACCTCCCTACATTTCTTGGCTGCTTTATATCACCTTTTTGGTTATCGATTTAGTTTATTTGTTTTTGCTTTTTGCTTCTCTAGTTCCTCTGAGTATTTTTCGAGTACAGCTTGGTCCCAGGACTGGTGACAGAGAAGGAGAGTGAGGGTTGGGGACAGGGGTACAGATTGTTATGCGGAAGGAGCCAGCCCTATTTTCATCCTCTAATACTCAACCAAATGAGATTGATTGGGTTCTTATCCTTGGTATGACCAGTATGAGGGAACAGTTGTCTTGAGGAAGCTTTTTTTATTAGGGTCTGTGGTATGTGAAATTATTAGCAGAGAAAACTCAGAAGTTTCTGAGAAGCGTGGGGGGAATTTATGGTATAGAGGCTCCTGTTCTTGGTGGTCCTGCATGCTGTAACTCTTGTGTGATACTAGATCTTACACCCACACCTTTTCTAAATGGGTTGTGAGCTATAAGCACATAAGCTTGTTGGAGTTGCTCTCCTAGTTGCTGAGTGCCCTGTTAGAACATAGCCAAGCAGGTGCTTAGGAAGTATTTGTTGATCAAACAATTTCAGTAGGATATTAATGATATCCAGCAAAGTCAGTGTCAGGCACCTTCTTAGGCTCTTCTTCCCACTTTGGGTGACTTTCTTAGGGCTGGCTCAAATGTCCTCCTTCTGGAGGAACTGCTTGCCCTTTCTCGGGAGACTTGCAGTTGGGCAAGTGGTGTTGGTGACAGCTTTGTGTTGAATGGTGGTGAGGACAGGGTTAGAGACAATCCTAAGTGTGGTGGTTTTAAAAGATGTCTGTAATGTTTTTGACTGTTCTTCCATTGGAGGCGGGGTCTTTGTCTCCTTCCTCTGGGATCTGGGCAAGCTTATAACTACTTTGATCAGTAGAGAGTGGCAGAAGTGAGACCATGTGACATTCAAGGCTAGGTGGTAAAAGGGAGTGCAGCTTTTGCCTCGTCCCTAGGACACTTGCTTTTGGAGCCCACAGAAATCCAACTGTCCCAAAGCTGCCATGCTGTGAGGAAGCCCGGGCTATTCAGAGAGGCTACATGCAGGTGACAGGTCCAGCTGACCAAGCCTTCAAGCCATCCCAATGCAGGCTTCCAATCATAGGAGTAAAGATGCTCCTGATGATTCTAGCCTGCAGGCACCAAGTCACCCTCAGCCATTCGAGTCTTCCTAGCTGTGTCTTCAACATCATGGAGCAGACACAAACTATCTCTGCTGTACCCTGTGTAATTCCTGACCTTCAGAATCTTTGTGTATAATAAAAAGGTTAATGCCAGTGAGTCTTGGCATCATTTGTCATGCAGCAATAGTAACTGGAACATCAGGAATCCAGCCTCCTGGATGCTAACTCCTGGCCTAGGTTTATTGTCTCTCAGGAAGGGAAACTTTCCTGGGTCCTAAGCTTTCTATTTTCCTCTCCACCGAGAAGTACACTCAAGAAAAAGACAGAAGAAAAGATGATTTTCTTGCAGAGAAACACCATCTGTGCTTCACTGTGATCTACCTGCATTGGAGTTCCTGTCAGATTTCCACTAAGCTCACTGACTTGATTTCATATTTTGTTGTTATAATAAGAATCACGTAGATTATGCTCGATGTAAGATTTGTCTACTCAATGACATACTCGGCCTTCCCTAACTGACTTTGATAGGACAGAGTCAGACCCCAGGGGGTCTCCCTTTGCTCTGATACTGACTATCTCCACAAGTTATCCATTGACATTCTCTAGGAAAGAACCTTATTTAAAACCATAATTCCTCAAGGAAACCCTTGACCTATTTTTTGCCAGCCTTCTATGTACTAGTGGAGACTTGGTCCCTACCTTGGGAGACACCCAGGCCTTTGGGAAATCTACATTATGCCAAAAGCTTCTAGAGGCCAGAGTCATGATGTGGCACCATAGCTCCTTCCTGGGCACACAGGAACAGAAGAGGTTAATGCTGGAGTTTGAAAGCCTAGAGATGGGGGCTCCCAGCTAAAGACATCAGTGAGCACTGATTTTAATTGATGTGAGTTAGTTTGGAGAGCCAGGAATTCTGGGAAGCAGGCCAATTGTGTCTTTAGTATTGGATGAATCTTGGTCCCACTACTTACCAATTTTGTAACTTGGACAGATTATTACCTCTCTGACTCTGTATAGCCACCTCCCAGATATTGTGAGGATTAAATGAGGCAGTGCACCTGGCATCTGGGAAGTACTCAGTGAATGATAGCTGTTGACCTTATTGCACAAGACCTAAAGCAGTTTGTCGTGGAGCTTTTTCACAGTGAGTTCTCTCAAAAGCAGGAGGATTCCTCAGAGTAGCCCTAGCATCTTGCTCATTGTATGGTAACTAGCTGTTTATATCTCTTCGCTCCTAGCTTGAGTATTTTTGAGGGCAGGGGCCATGTCTTGGTGCTCTTAACTTCTAGAAAATAAGAAAATACGTGTTAAAAAGGCTACATGTGTCAGTAGCCCTTTAGAGCCATGTGACCATGGTTGATGGACAAAGAAATCGAAACTTAACCAAGTGATGGTGTTAAGGCACATATTTAAATGCTCTGTGAGACCTGGCTCAGGTTAGTTTCCCTGAAAAGGGGAGGAGATGAGGCAGGGGAGTTTGGGAAAGGAGGTAGAAGCTGTGATGTGGGGCGTGGGGGGAATTTGGTTTGGAGGTGCCTGGGTGACATCAGGAGTTGTAGTTGATTTTTGTTCTTTTTTGTGGAGGACACAGTCATCCCTGTGGTGCTTTCATGGCCTTTCAGGACTGTAAGACCCATTTTAAGGTATGTCTCATCCTGAGAGAGAAACCTATTGGTTTGCTAACAAAGCAAGTCACATGGCCCAGTACTTGCTATAGTAGATTGTTACACTAAGTGCCTCCATGAAGCACTTCTGAGTATTCTGCTCTGTGCATCCCTTTGGACTTGGCCAGGGGACTGGCTTGGCCATGGGGCATCCACAAACTGTCCAACAGCAGAGTATGAAGGGGGTAAGATATACATATTTTTGCAGACTTCTTGACCACGGAACCCTTTATAGAGAACAGCTCAAAAAATGCCAGTGTTTCTGTGTGGAGCCCAGTGAGAAGCCCTGATTCAAATGTGAGCAGTCCAGCTTGCTGAGAGTACAGTGGTACAGAGAAATAGCAAGAAGTGGGGATAGAAAGGTGGGATAGAAAGGTGGGCTAGGGCCGGGCAGTGTGTCAAGGTCTTAATTGTCCCTGGTTGTCTTTTTTTTTTTTTCCCTCAGCCACCAGGGAGATGCCAGGGCAGGACAATAAATAATGCCCCAGTAGAAGAATATGGACAAGAAACTCAGGGGAATCCTGTGACAAGTCTGGGCAAGGGAGGATGAGGGCATGACCCAGGACCAGGCAGTGAAGGGAGAGAAGCAGGTGGATGTGAAAACACTGTGGAGGGAGAACCAATGGGATTTGGCAGCTGAGGGAAGAAGGGGGCAGAGGGCAAGCAAAACCAGAGATGATTGAGGCTGTCAGTCTATGTGCCTGAGAGATTAGTGATGCTGGTAATAGGAATGACAGAAACAGTGGCTTTGGGGAAAAGTAATAAATTTGCTCAGCCTGGTGAAAACACAGAGAATGTACTGAAGCTCAGGAGAGAGGGTCCAGTTAGAATGCAGATGTGAGTATCTTTACACCCCAGGAGAGTCGGTGCAGATGAGCAGATGGGAAGAAAAGGAAAGGAAAAGGGGCCGAGGTCAGAACCCAGGCTACCCCAAGTGACTGGTCACCATAGTGATGCTGGGGAAGATACCAGGATAGGGCCCTATCACCTTTTACTGGATGCCAGGCTTTTTTGTGGCCTCATTTTCCTGTCTTAAGTGGGTACCAGCTCTGCTCAGTATCCACTGGACCTGTGCCAAGCCTGCCATGACCTAGTATTGTGTCTGAGCAGGATGCCGTTGAGTCACATGCCACTGATATGCAAGCCTCTGAACAGACATTCAGAGCCTTTTCTGGAAGTTGCTGAACCTTCCCCAGAAAAATGTACCTGTACAAGAGCCTTGATTTAACACAATTTCAAAGGGCTTGTCAATTTCTGATATCCACTGTCAGGCCCAGGTAAAAGAACTCTGCTCTAGACTACCTGCCTCCTTGGACAGCTGTGAAAGGTTGAGAGTAAAACAAGTGACTTGTTATCTCAGGCTGTTCAGGGGGTGTATCTGCTGTTTTCAGTCTCCTAAAGCTGGGTCTTTCTGGATCTGATCCTTGATTACTCTTTATCAGTGATTATGAGTGCTACACTGTTGAAATCACTTGGAACCCTGCCCCTGTTTTGCTGGATGAGACAGTTCAAAGGCAGTGGAGAGGAAGACAAGTGACAGTCTATGAGACAACTGAGATGAGCCTGGGTACTGCCCCAGCCACCCCTTGCTTGGCCAGCTGCTTCATGACACTCCCAGACCCTGAACAGTTCACAATACAAATTTATTTATGCATGTATTTATATAGAATGCAAACACTTGGGGGCACCTCCACCCCCCTAACAGCCGAGAGCCCAGACTCAAGATAAAGAAGGGTGGGTCCAACCTCAGGAGGCTGAAATGAGTTCTTAGGAGACAGGTTCTAGGCCAGACGAAGTGGGTGTGGCTGGGGCGGAGCTCGGGCTGGAGAGGCGGGGCCTGGCCACGCACCGCTTCTAGGCCCAGGGTAGAGCCCTGCGTGGCTGGCCGGTGGGGAGTGGCTTGCCTCTAAGGTTGTAACACCTAGGGTCTGCTCCTGCAGCTCCAGGGTTCTGAGAACCCCTCTGCGCTGAGGGGCGGTGGGAAAGGAATGGGGTCCACAGGCCAGGTCTCCTACACGTAAGCGTTTTTCCCGTATTTGCCAAAGCTGCTGTCGCCTTCATTCGAGGCCGCGGGGGGCAGGCGGGTAGAGAGGCCGGTGGACTGCACTGTGGAGGCCTTGTAGGGCAGCCGGCCGCTGGCGGAGGAGGGGGCCTGGGTCAGCCTGGGTAAAAGGAAAGTGCCGCCCTCGCCGCCCTCGCCGCCCTCGCCCCCAACTCCTCACCCCGCTCCCTGACACTCGTCCTCCCTTACCCAGGGGCGGGGTCCTGGTCAGGAGGACAGCAACAGTTGGAGCAGAGGCAGACACCGCCCAGGATGGCCAGCAGGGAGGCGCTCCAGCCCAGGTAGAGCGCAGGGCCCAGCTCGTACCTAAGGAGGACAATGCGGGGCGGTGCTAGCTCGAAGACAGGGTCGAGTTCCACCTACTACCTCCGTGGGTGGGGCTCCCACACTCACTTGGTTCCGACATATAAAGGGTCAAAGAAGTCCCGGGTGATGTTGACTGCATACCAGGTGATGGCCACCATCCCACAGCAACCTAGGGCAGGGAGAGAACTGCATTAGTACCCTAGACCCCTAAGAGCTAGGGGAAGGGCCAGGCAGGGACAGCCCAGAGAATAGGATATGGGGCATCAAGTCCAAGAACAAGTTTCATTCTCTCTCTCTCCCCCTGCCCCTCCAGCTCACGATTCTTTTGTTTCTAAGGGTCATCTATAAGCTTCTGGATCCAGCACCCAAGACCCAAACCCAACCCACTTCTCTTGCTTAGTCTTCCACACTCTGCTCCTCAGCCTGTCCTTGTCACCCCTCTGTACCCCTGACCTGCCTTGTTCATCCCTGCCCTTCAGCTGCTTGATCATTTAGTTTCCTCACTTGGATTGTACCCTATCCCTCCTCAAAGGCCAGCTGCCCCAAGCAGTCCTTCCCAATCAGCCCTGCCTGTCCTGACACCCCTGTCCTTTGTCCTCCCAAAGCCCTCAGAGCCTGTGACATGCCTTTACCACTCAGTGCAGTGAAGGCCTGAAGCCAGCAAGACCCCGGTCTATCAGACCAGCCTTACCACTGGTTGAGGGCTTGTTTTCCAGTAAGTTTCCATATCTAGAGAATAGGATGAAACCCTCCCTTCCTCACAGGCTTGTGAGGTTATGTATGAGGTGTTTTACAACCAACAAGGGATGGCCAGTTGTACGGTATTGTTTTTGTACACAGTGTGTGTGTACGTGTGTGTATGTGTGCCCTGACTCTGGTCCTCCCAGCCAGGCTGTATGCTCTGGAGAGCAGACCCTCACTCTCACCTTTGGAGTCCCTCCCATACCTCGCTCATGCCTGGCTCCTACAGGGACTCAAGAAACATTGCTGATGGACTAATTAGTAGCTAAGGGATTTAGTAAGCATGGGTGGAGCTGGGGTGAACAGGGAGAGAAGGAAGAGCTGATCCCAGGAAGGCAGGTATCAGTGCAAAGGGAAAAGTGAGGCAAGCGCCAGGAGTGGGAGCTGGAGATGACAGAGAACCCTGGAGTCTGTTGCTGAGGGCTGTCTCTTACCCCTCCCCACAGCATAGGGACCACCCATCACCTTCCCTCAATTACCAGCCAGTATGTGTAGGGCCCCTGCAGTGGCCGCCAGCTTGGCTTTCCTGGAGAGATCCATGCCCCCAATGGTTGTGCAGCGCAGCCCCACTATGCCCAAAAAGACGCCCAGGAAGCCCAGGAGGATGGCGGTGATCATGAGTGCCCGGCAGGCCTGGATGTATCCTGGGGAGATGGAGTACAGTCATAGGTCCCTGAGCCAGCCTCTTACCCCTCCATCTCCTCTCCCCATTAGGACAGCCAGCCCCCTACAGGTCCTGCTCAGGCCTCAGTCTCTGGAAGTCTTCAGATCCTCCTTCTCCTTCTGGCCCAGCCAGGCTACGAGACCTTACTTTAGTCCCTAGGAGTCTCAGCCCCTCCTGTTCCGCCATCTGCACCCATACACTTCACCTATACCTCCATTACAGGGCCTCTCCTTGGCACTACTGACATGTTAGCCAGATAATGCTTTATTCTGGGTGAGGGTGGGGGGCAGTGGCATCCCCATGCATTGTAGGATGTTTAGCAGCATCCTTGGCCTCTGCCACTAGATGTCAGTAGTAATCCCTTCAAGCGGGAAAATCAAAATGTGTAGACTGTCAAATGATCCCTGAGGGGCAAAATAGCCTGGTTGAGAACCACTGCTCTGTTAGAGCACCACCATATTACAGAAACTGAACCTGGCACGTACCACCAACCCCTTCTCCACAACAGCTTCTCACCAGGTCCCACCTAGTGTCTAGCTCAGTGCTGGACATTCTGAACTGAATTTCTTCCTGGAGAGACCGGTAGGGAGCAGCAGTAGCCTATGAGTCAATGAGTCAAGGGCAGTTTCCGATCTGAAGGTCCGATACCTGGGCCCAGGACCAATCCAAGTCAGTCTTGCACATATGCTTTCAGTGCCTTAGTTTCTCCTTTCTCAAAACTGAAGGAAATGGCTGGCTCCCTTCTTAGCCCTTTCCCCCTTCTCTGTCTGATTAGTTTCCAAGCACTCCAAGGACCTTGCACCCCTTTCTCGGGTGGGGCAGTGCCATTGGTACCGAAAGGGAAAGGCTGGGTCTCTGCCAAGAGGATGTGAAGTGGCCTGGAGTTGGAGGGTAGGGAGAAGGAACAAAGTTCTCTGGGAGCATGTTCTCACTTCCAGCCACTCCCTCTGGAGTTCCTACCCTCTCCCCCTACCCCATATCCTTTCCCCATACACCCATCTCTACCTAGGGCAGACTACCTCTGGTAGACAAAGGGTAATTAGCACAGACTGAGTGGATGAGGGGTGGGGGATGCACAGCTAAGAGGTGACTAAATGACAGTCAGGACCCTACTCAGGGCTGGAACTGGCCTTGGAAGTCAGCTGGCTCTGGACTCAGAAACACACGAGTCAGAATTCTAACTCCTCTACTACCTGTATGATTCTGGGCAGTTTAACACTTATCCCTGCAGTTTTCCAGCTTCTATAAAATGAGGTTATTAATGCCCACAAGAGCAGGGCTATTGTGAACAGCTCTGAAATGTTGTATGTGAAGTACTCAGCACCACACCTGGAACCCAGATGCCCTTCAATGCTGGGCAGCTGCAGTCTGCCCTTCCCCCAAGCCCACTCTGTCTTTCATGTGCATTCATGTCCTCTCTCAGGCCAAGAGCAGTAATTCCAAGTAGGGCTCCTCAGGTAGACAGGCTCACAGCAAAGACCCCTTCCTGAACCAGTGTGGTTGAGGGGTCAGTGAGGTAGGGATGGCCAGGGATGTTGAGCTGGCCGCCTCTAATGTCCCTTCTGGTCACCCAGCATTCTTGACTACTGTCCCAGTTTGTACTCAGCTTTTATAGGGTTTGGGTGTTGGGAGCACTTGCCTTATAAGTCCCAGAGAGAGGGATGAAAGTATGAAGCCCCTGCTGCTGCCTCAGGAGATTCCTGGAACAGTCAGGGCACAAGAGACCCCTCAGGCCTCCCTAACAGCTCAGAGCATCTTTGACATTGCTGAAAGATTTCATGGAGCCCTGCTCTATACCCATTGTTGGCCTTAGTTCCTTCCCCTACCTCTGGCACCTGCAGAAGGGGACTTAGAAGAGCAAGGTGGCTCCGAGAGGGCCCAGTGAAGGCAAGGGCACAGGAGTAGCACCACAGAGGATTCCTAGTCATCCCCTCTCTGTCTCTAGCATGGAGTTAATTGAAGGGAGAACCCCTGGGGAATGGTCAGGGGGCTACTCATAGGGTGAGCAGAAAGCAGGAAGATGCTACAGCCACCAGAGAGAACCTTTCTGGGCCAAAATAGCTGTAGGCTCTAGCTCACCAAGAACCACAAACATACACTGTCTCGAGAATCCTGAACACACAGGCACATCCTTATCTGCTTATAGTAGAAACTCAAGACTCTCCTAAAACAGCCCTTTAGAATTCTCCATGGCAGTGGTACCCCACTGGAAGTCTCGTGGGACTGTCTCAACCTCCAAGAATCCAAGGTGGGGCCTCCTGTTTACCCTACAAACCCCAGCATTCTCACCCCACAACTAAAATGCTAAAATTGTTTGAGTGCTTATAGATGCTAATATATTAACATTTTGCACCTTTTATTTCACATAATCCCCACGACCACCCTGTAAATGGGTGCTATTATGCCACTAATTTTACAGATGGGTGACATGAAGCTCATTTTACCACCTGCCAAGGCACAGAGCTAGGAAACAGCAGGTGCTGGGCCTGACAGTCTGACCCAGATGCCTGTACTCATAACCACTAAGAATGTCACATTAGGGCCAGGGGCCACGTTTGAGCAGGTTGCTACTACAGTTCCAGAAAGGGAGCTTTCTCCAGCACTCCCGGCTGCAGGAGCCCAGATCCCAGAGCTTGATCAGGCCTCCCTTATCTGTATGGTGCCCAAGGTCAGACCACAGGCAGCACCCGCATTTCCCAGGGCTCTCTCCAACCTTCCGCCTCCCTCTGCTCCCTTCACCCTCCACCCTGTACCGGAGAGAGCCAGCATGGAAGGGAACTCCCAGCAGTTGCTGACTCCCAGCGAGTCCGTTGCGCAGCTCTGCCAGAGGTTCTCGAAGATGGTGTTGGTGGTGATGACATTCCCGTGCACAGTGGACACTCGCCAGTACCTGTGTGGCAGGGTCACCCCCAGCATCAGCAGCCCCAGGGCAGCCATGAAGAAGCCAAAGTTCTCCACAGCCTCTGACATGGTGGGATGCAGGCTCTGAGGGGCACGTGGGGCCCCAGAGGGGGAGGGGCCGAGCCCCAGGGGACCTTGACGGGCTTTGGCTAAGAAGAGGTGTTAAGGCAGGGCGGAGAGAGCGGAAGCCCAGCTGCAGCCTCAGCTTCTTGTCTTTATCCTGGTTTTTGCCTCCTTCCCCCTCTCTCTGGGTCTCTGCTGCCCTGAAAGTCCGGTCCGACGGTCGGTCAGACGAATGAGCCAAGAGGCAGATGTTGACAAGGAGGTGGAGGGAATAAACGAAACGGGCCAAAAGTCCACTGCCTCCAGGCTGCCCTTGTCTCCCCGCCCCACGAGGGTGGGGTGGGGGGGACTTACTGGGGAGTGACTAACGGATGCAGCCAAGGAGGGGCCCCCATGGGAGGCACTGAGAGCCAAGGAGAAGCTTCTGTCTCCGACTCAGCTTTCATTGGGGGTTAGAGAATGGAATAAAAGGGACAATAAGACAGAGACAGAGAATGACCGTAGACAGGCTACTGTAGCCTTCAGTGGGGGAAGGAACGAGGGATCAGAGCCACTGCCTCTTGTTGGTAAGAACAGTTCAAGAAACTCAAGACCTGGGAGTTGGGGCATTGAGTCTCCCAGTAAGATAAAGGTTGAAGGAACAAGGTCTGTGGGGGAAAACCATGGGTCTGGAATCCAACCAACCTAGATTCAAACAAGACCACATCATTTACCAAAGTGACACAGGCATGAAGTTTGAGCCTCAAGAGCTCATTTCTTCTTCTGAGAATTAGAACTACTACTACTCATCTCATAGGTAGTAATAAGAAGTGTGACTGCAGATCAAAGCTCCCCACATGTACGAACTGCTCAGTACTTGGTGACTTTCCTGGGTATTGGTGCCACAAGCTCAGGATGAGGCCATCAGGCATTGCTTCCCTCCAAACTTCAACTTCCTGAACTTGAATTTCCCCCTTGGTGAGCGGATCTTTGACCCTCAGCCACCAGCTTGATCTTGCTGCCAAGGGTCCCTGAGGGGGAAAAATCACAGGCCCAAGTGATCCCGTGGCTAATCTAAGCAGCTCAGAGTTATCAGAACTGTCACCAGTTCTATTAATTATGATGGATTAGAAACCTCTGCATCGCCACCCAGGCCAAGACTGAGCACTTGTCCCGGTCTCACTTCCTGCTCCAAGGCCACAGTGGGACAGCCCTGGTTCTCTTCTGGCAGATGCAGCTGGGGCTCGGTCTCCAAGGGGCCAATTCGACACCTAGGCAATCACACAAGACATTACTGAACTGGAGTATAAGCCCCCATTTCCCTCCTTTCCGTGTCAGGATCCTCCATGCTCCCCTCAGGGGCCTCCCCAATCCCCCAGCTGGGCTGGCTTGGCTGTGGAATGAGAGGTATGCAGTGAAGCAAGACAGGCCCACGCTGAGCCTGGCACAAGGTGGGTGTGGGGCAAAGAGGGCTGGGTGCAGACTGTGTCCCCACCTTTCATCTCAGAGGCTACAACTGGAGTGTCCTGGGTTTCTAACTTCTCCAAAGACCCCTGCTAACTCCGTGCCAAATACCCATTTCCTTCCTCCCACCAGTGGGGTCCCCTCCCTTAAGGATAGGGTAGAAGGAAGGGTAAGAGGCAGGAAGACAAAGGGAGGGGAAGGGCGGAGGTTTTGGAGGAAACTAAGTGTGTGTGGGGGGCCCTGATGTGGAAAACTCCACGTGCTGAGAGGCAGCTGAGTACGTCAGAGGAGACGGGAGATATAAATCACAGCTTGTACCCTCAGTTTTGCCCTTCCCACCCCCAGTAGCTGCTTTTTCCCAGGATTCTAGGGCTGTGCAAGGGCCACGTGACTTTGGGTGAGGAAGGAAGGGTGTGGGGTCTGGGCAGCTCGGCAGACAAAGGAGAACCCCACATCAGTATGGAGTGGTAGGAGTGGGAGAACACAGAGCAGGAAAAGACCATGCGTTACCCCTACCACTTCTGGGCCCAAGGGAACCCAACCCGCCCCTTCCTCAACAAAGACACAGAGGTTCCCAAGCCAAAGCCCAATTTTATTTACACTCATCTCAAAGCACATGATTTGAGGCTAAAGGACAAGTCTCAGGGAAGAGAAGGTTGCGGCCATAGTGGACAGTGATGGGGTATAGGAAAAGAAAGAGACAATAAGACTAGATGGGCCCCTCTCCAAGTGTCCTCCAGGGGCTCCCACGTATCCCTGGGTGGAGGAAGAGGTACAGTCTCGTTCAGGATTTGGACTTGGATACAGCAAATCCAATGAGTCCAGCTAATCCCGCCACGCCTAGGGCCATGCCTCCAACAATGGCCATGCCCACCAGTCCATCTGGAGAAAAGAAAAGAGAGACTGTCAGGAGTCTAGCCCCAGCCTGGCGGGACTCCACCACCTTCTCCCTGCCCGCTCTCAACAGATGTGCCTCACTACATGGAGTCACAGGGTAAGGGACTCCAAAGGTTGGACATAGAAGGCTTCTGGGAGTTTGAGGAGAAACTGATGGAGGGGGTCATTTAAAGTGATACCAGAGGGCCCAGGCATGGGTGTGGGCGTGTGGTGGGAAGAGAACTAAACTAAGAGTTGAGAGGGACCTGGGGATGATAGGGGTCAGGGAGACAGGAGGACTGGGAGTGGAGGAAGACGAAAAAGAAGGCATTCACCTTTCTTCATGGCCTTGTCAATGAGCCGTTCCAGTTCCTTGGCCTGGTTGTTCTGGGGCTCTGTCTGCAGCAACCCTCGCACATACTTTAGGGCCTTTTCATATTCCTACACTCAGGGAAAACAGCGTCCCTCCTAAGTATTCCAGCATTCCTTCTGCCCATCAGAGAGGCCTTCCCTTCCTTGCACTGGAGGTTCCTCCCTCTACCTCCAACCCCTCCCTCCCTCTAGCCCCACCCAATGGAGTAGAGTCCACAAACAACCCCAACTGTGTGGGGGTGATAAGCTAGGGGAGATAACAACCTAAGACTTGAAGCTGCACCCCAATCCTGACGTCACCTTTTCCCCACACCCTCGGCACCAAATCCTCTCTCTCTCTCTCACTTTCCCTCAGCATCCTGACCTGCTATCATCTTGTACCCCGTACCCAACACCATCGCCTGCCTACTGCCTTCTTCAGGCTCTACTCTGGAAGAGAGAAAGGAGAGGGTGATGTGGCCCACTCAGTAGGGTCGAGGGGAACAAGGGAGTTCTCTGCCTTACCTTGAGCCGGTAGTTCCCCACAGCCAGGTAGAAGACATAATCCCGCTGCTCCTCTTTGCTCCCTGTGGGCAGCAGCTCTGGGGTGGGGAGGGAAGGAGAAAGGGTGAAAACCACTTCTCTCTTTTCCTAGTACTTGAATCTCAGAGACCCCTTCCACTCTGGGAATCCCTATATGATTTTAGGAGAAAGTCACTGTCTTTAGCCTGTGTTTCAGCTCCAGTCACATTCAGCTTCCCAGTCAGAGTTCTTAGGGCAGCATGAACCCAGGCTGCCCAAACACCCTAGTGATCCAATATTACAGTCAACCCTGGTTCATTCAAGTGAACTGAAAAGAAATCAAGGCACTGGAGAAGCCAAAGGCCTCTCTGTACTGTTTTGACATCTGTTGTCTCGATTACAGTTGCTTATTGCCCAAATAATGTTAAAAAGAAGTTTGTAGTCCCTCCCCTTTTAAAAAATCAGCTCAAAACTCATTTTCAATTAGCATTTCCTGAATGACCTCACCTGACTCTTAATTCAGTGACTTCCCATACACTTATGTGTTCAGTCATACTCTATGCACTAGAATTTAAGTAGTTTTGCAGGTGTTTATAAATCTTCCCAAGTGTCTATACTGTCTCCCCAACTAAACCGGCAACCCTTGGAGACTACTTCTTCTACTGCTGTGTCTTGCTGTAGAGAACATCTGGAAACTCAGAATTGGCCAATCAGACAAATGTAGGATTACATGCATATTAAGATTCTTATTTTTATAGATTTATAATAGGCATCCTTTGCTAGTACACTATTTGCTTATACATGGTTACTTGACCAAGAGAAAGGGGTACAGAGAATTTTAAAGGTCAAATTTTGTGGCCTCTGGCAAATAGTGAGCCATCTCAAAACAACAGGAAATAGGGGTCTCATCAGTAAGGCGCCGTCTGTTCACAGGCTTTTGGCACTGTCTTCTGCACTTCTTTGAGGCCACCCTCACAAAAGGTTTTCAGCAGCTGTGAATACACAGCACAGGACAGGGACACACAAGACTAGAGCATCAGTCCCAATTCGGCTATTAATTAATTAGCTGTGTGACCTCAGACAAGTCACTTTCTTTATGGTTAGACTACAAGATCACTAAAGTCCTGTGGAAATCAACATGCTCTGACTCTGTTTGGCAAAACAATGAGGTAGTAATTGGCCAGAAGTATACTGTACAGCCCTTTGCTACAGTGAGTTTATTGGAAAATAACTGTGAAGTGACTGTACTGTAGGGCCCCATGTTGAAAAAGGATCCCAGCACTTGAGATGGAGGGAGAGAATGACCAATTGCTGCACAGAAGGGCAGACCCTGATGGCAAATGGGAAGGGGAGAGTTGGGTAGCCTAGCACCTCACCCTCCAGCAGTGCAATGCCTTTACGGATGTCATCGTTGTACTTGCTTCGCACCAAGCACCAGGCATACTCAAACTGCGTGCTCTTGGACACCGAGCCTGCTGCCTTCTCAGACTGAAATTTCTTTTCAAACTTCTGCCAGAGGAGAGGAGAGGAGTCATTTAGAAATGAAGGGGGCGAACAATTCTCTATCAGGTCCTGAGTGTCCATTTCCCACTTACAATCCATCTTCCCCAGTCTCTGCCACATTTCCCTCATGGGTCTTGATACCTTACACCACAGGTTCTACTATCTCCATCTCTGGGACCCAGGCTTTCTGCTTCTTGTCGGCAGGCTGCCTCCTTGGGCAGTCCTTCTCCACTCCCCTCTACTTCCCTCCCCCTAGTGGTATGGCGAGGAGATGCCACCTGGTGGCGGCTCCAGGCACCGCTCCCGGAGCAGCTGACCCCGAGTGGCTGAACAGTAAACACGCCGTTCGACAACAGTCAGAAATGCTCAACAGCCCACGCAGTCCCTCGTTGGAGACTGCTTCCCCCACCCCGCCTCACCCTGGCGGGTCTGGACATTTTCCTATCTGCAAAACGGTAATAAGAATAGTGCCTAGCTCCCAGAGCTCAAAGATTGAGATATTGCCTGCATTTAGATTAGCACCGTGCCGTAGACAGTGAGCAATATATGAAACTTTATGGTGGTTGCTAGTTCCCCGCTAATGAAGGAGCACTCAAAAACAGGTCCGCACCCTAACCTCCTACTGTTGCATGCACCCAGAACCCGTCAGTCTTTACATGCCAGACTCCAGGCCCTGGGTCTGAGGCGTGGTAGCGCAGGAAACTACAACTCCCATTAGTCCCGGTGCCAAGTGGAACCTCTCAGCAAGAGCCAGACGCTGCAAAGGCTGCCGGGAGCCGAAGTTCGGCTTCCCTAAGCAAAGTTGATGATGGGATGAGTTTGGCCCCTGACTCTCCTTAGGACCCGCCCACCCGAATTTTTCCTTTCCTTCCCTCGGGGACAGGCCTCACCAGCAGGTCATCCACAGACACCAGCTCGTTTAGCACTGCCTCCATGGCCGCCGGCCCGGCAATCCTCACCCCTCAGACGTTACTGTGCCACCGTCTCCATGGCCCACTGGCAGGGGCGGAGAAACATTTCCGGCGTCCAGCGGAAGCGGGTCCCCTCCCCTACGCAGAGCCAATTGCATCACGTAGCCGAAGCCGAGCCCGCCCCGCGCCGACCGAGAGGCGCCCCGCCCTTTCCACCCCGTAATGAGAACGCTTGGGACCGGTACTCCTCTCAATCCCACTGCGCTTGCGCCGCGTACGGTGCTGCTCCTGTCTCCACTTTCGTCTTTCCAGATGTTCTGCGTATATGCCTTTCTCCACGGAGGCTGCCTCAAGAAAATCTGAGACTATGTCTCGGTGGTTAGCCCCCTGGACTGAAAATAGCGGAAAGAGGAAGGTGGAGCCCCAGACATGGATCACATAATTTTAGGGACGAGTCTAAGCCTATTTACCCGCTGTCCTAAGACCATCTCTAGGACGCGGCCAGAAATCTGGGACCCTGGAAGCTACGTGACTTTTCAGTGCCTGCAAAAAAATCATAAGTACTAGGGTTTCCAGAGCCTGTTACTCTTACAATGCAAGAAGATAGAAAACTGGATCTGTTAACCATAACCCAGAGACTGCAGTAGATGATAACGGGATACCATTAATGGGAATTAAAAGGAAAGCTGTTGCCATTACTTGCAGAGAGGGCCCAATCTTTTAAATATTATTTAGATAAAGCATCCTGTGGGTGCACCTGAGAGGTAAGGCCTGCTATGTGGGCTCAAGGGCAATGAGGACTTTGGCAGCGAGGAGCAACAAAACATGGAAAAGGGAAATGTTACAGGCTGCTATGGCATCTGTTCTCTGCAGTGATGGAACTGGGTAGGTAGTAACTTTCAAATTCTTTTTACCTCGTTAAAGAGAAAACCACAGGCCCCAAATAGCATCAGTCAGTGCTAAAAGCACATGATACCAAACTTAAATTTAATACCTGACCTAACTGCAGTTTCAACCTCTTCCAGAAAAGTAATATTAATCAGTCTGGAATTTTCTGGTCAAGCACCAATAAGGTAAATCTTTCAGAAGGCCCCCTCCATTTCCCCTCTCTCTCCAATAGAAAGGAGACAATCTGCATTGTAAAAACCCAAGCCATTCCCTTTCCTCTAAAAGAAGATGTGCTGGTCTAAAAGTAATACTTTTTCTTTTGTTAACAGCAGCCTTCTAGTTCCTAGGTGGGATACTGCCCAATAAGTCACTTAACGAAATCAATT